ATTAGGATTACTAAAAGTTGGCAAAGCATGAAGCCCAGAGGACTTGTGCTCCTGATTTCAGCGGGGGGTGGTGAGGGAAGTGGGGAAAAGCCTTTGGGGAGAGATTTGATGTTGTGTTATGGTGGGGTTTCAAGGCAGAGCCCCCCTCTGGCACCCAGCGAGTGTCCAGAGCAAAAGGGGGTTCAAGAGACCTGACCAGTAAAGAAGGAATGATCTGAAGGTGGACAGTTCTCTGAACAGCAACAAGAAGTGAGATCATGAGTGAAGGCACCCAATAAGGGTTGAGGGAAGGAGAGCACAGCTGGTAACGGTACATGTGGAACCACTTTTCTCCGTGGTGGGGATGCAGAGTACCCATGGGAGTTACTGCGTAGTTAAAATTTCGAGTGCTTTTTCCAGATCTTTGGCCTTAGTGAACATCCCCCTCGTTTCAGGTGAGTTGTTTGCAGCAAGGCTTTGCAGGGCCATAAGCTGAGGGTGCTGTGAAATCTGTGAACAGAGCACCAAGAGGTCAGACTCTGGTCTAGGAGGACAGTGTCAGACTGATTTAGCCTTGCAGTGAATATGGTCTGTCATGATACCTTACTTTAATTTTCTTTGGTCAGAAGTGACAAATACTGGATTTTTCCCTGATGTGAATCATGCAAACGATTTGTTGTCAGAAGATCTTCCCAGCTGAACTTGGAGGCAGCTCCCAAGCCTCTTCTGCTTTGATTCTCCATTGTAAATTATATCTCACCCCCTTTGTAAAGAGGAGCTCTGCAAAAACCAAATGAGCAGCCAGGGGAAACTCGCTGAGTCTGTTCGTGTTGGGGGTACAAAGATGTAGGACACAGTGGAAAGGAGAAAGATGGGAACACAAGAGCCATCTCTCACAAGGGGTTTTTTGGATTTATGGGGTTGAAGAGTTCGGTGGTGAGAGGAGATGTTGGAACATCCAGTGCCATGTACCACAGACCCTCAAATGTCACCTGCTGCCTCTCTTAAGCCTTCAGCCTGCATCTGGCAAAACCCAGACTTTTCTAAAAGTTTTTACTCATGGGGCTTTTTGACTGTCCCTTTGAACCAGGTTCCTCCAAGGAAGGGCCAGGCAGGCAGCGCGGGCTGCTGCTTACCTCTGCAAATTAGCCCAACTTCTTTAGTTAGCTTCTTAATAGCTGGCTGCACATTTTCAAGGGGAAAGCTGGGTAAAAATGACTAAAAATAGCACGGTGCCTCTGTAACTGTCTGAATTCATCCTGGGCTGCTCTGACGCCAGTGCTGGACAACCCTGCTCCTCCTTCGTGCTCCTGACCTGCTTAATTTTAAGCTATAGGTTATTTAAAATGAATTTACAGAGAAGCAGACATTATATAAGTCACTGGGGAAATGTCAGGTTATGTATGTAGTTTTTGAAGTGCTCTGCACTCATCTAACTCAGCTCCCCATCAAACCAAGGGATCAAAATTAAGCCAAGGCAGAGAGTTTGGACTAGTTGCCATCCTTAAAATGCCATGGAAGACGAGCCAGCATTGCAGACACTTGTTAGTAATTTCATACCCAGGGACCGTTGTCATTTGTTCAGGACACTCGATCAGGAAAGGAAAAAAAAAAAAAGGAGATGATGAAAAATCCATGGACTAGAGTATTTGTTGCTATTTGTTTGCTTGGCCTCAATGGCAAGTCCCCTAGTGTTTTTGGAAAGAGTTACATTTTTATGAGGAGGTGCCATCTGCAATGTTCCTCTTCCAAGACCAAGTTCAGAATATTAATTATAGATAATGATGCATAATTAGAGCCTGAATTTCAGAATTAATTGATGGTAGCCATTTAGCGTGGATATCAATTCTAACTTGAAAAAGTGCTTTATCTCCTACCAGCACCCCGTAGCATCCACATATGGGTAAATAATTGGAGCAGTAAGCGCTTGGTTTTAATGACACAGTGGCTTGTCATTTCCTCAAAGGTCTTAAAACAGTTTTGTCCATTAGTGACATTAAAAGTATGAGAATCTGGTGCTCCTTGACTTGTCATGGCCCCAGCCTGACCAGAGACAGAGCCAGGATGTCCAGGACCATGGCTGCAGCTGCTCCGTGCTCTCCACTTCTGCCCAGGAGAGCTTGACCTGCTGCTGCCACACACATTGAAAGGCCAGCCAGGTTTTTGACCTCCTGCTGCCTTAACTTCCCGAATTTGGGACCATTACTTTCCTCTGGCACAGGTGAGGGGCTGTCACTCAGCCAGCCAGAGAGGCGTCCAGTCTGGAGGAGAAATCACCTTGGGTTGTTTTTTTCTGTGGCTTAGGCTGGTTCACAAAGGTGTCTGATGTGTGTTACAAGGCTGAAAACAAGATTGGTTGTAATAATAAGGAATTGTACAAAGAGTAAGTAAAGAATTGTCCTGTAGTGTGTGTGGGTCCCAATGGACGTGCTGCTGTTGTTTTGTAGAGCAGAGGGGAACGAAGCCAGAATTTGTGTTCGTTGAAAATAGGTAGTAAAATATTATTAGATCAGCCCCTGCCTCTGACTTGTCAGAAATACTCCAGAGTTAATTACTACTTTAGAGACACTGTCTTTGAGCTGCAAGGAAGTGGATCGACTGTTGGCAAGATCACCAACCCTGTGTAATTATTGTGAAAGACACGTAAAAATAGGCTTTGTGCTTAGCTTGAGTTGGGGCCAACCGAGCATCACAGCAGCTTTAAGTGGCTGTGCACGCACAGCATGTGTACCTGTGTGGCTGTCACATGTACACTGTGATTTTGAAGCTGGGGCTGTTACTGTGTGGCCGTGAGTCACCATCACCACTCCTCCTGGGAGCCTGGAATAAAATACATTCAGCACGAGAGTCGTGAGAAGGCTCTCTGGCAAGAATTTTGGGATGAATGCCTTTGGTTTGCAATATTTGTGTTTTTAAGTGAATTTTCCCAGTGTTTGGTCTCTCCCATACCTGTCAGCAAGGCAGCAGCGTAGGGGCTCTCCTTGAAAGTCTAGGTGATGTTTAGAGACAGTGTTTGTTTTAGGGTTACATCTAGAAACCCAGCTGAGAAACCAGGGGAACCATGTGTTTCCTTCCTCTCTGGTATTACATGGGGAGTGACATTCAAGGCACACAGGCTCGCACTGGCAGAGGATGATGGTGATGGCACCTTCATGAATTGAGTTTACTATGGTTTAGACCGTGCAGGATGGGACTAATGGTGGGATGAGTTGATAAAAGTAGACCTCTTGTCCTCTTCTAGTGCTGTGGGTGTGTGTCTTCTCGATTACTCCTTTTTTTACTTAGCTACCTGTCAGAAATAAGTGGGTTTGCATGTACGTGCCTGTGCCTGTTTCACACTTTTTCACCCCTAGGGATCCTTCTGTTTGGAAAGCGTTACGTTAGTAATAGTTAAAAGGGGAGCATTCAAGTCATTTTGAACTTGTTAAAATACAGTAATGCTGATGTCTGGGCTAAGTCTTGTTACTTCCTGGCTGCTGTGCTTCTCTGTATTGTATCTGAGACATAAAAAGGCCATTTACTGGTGGCCCTACTGCTGCGCCCTCCCCGCTCACTGTAAGGCTCTCATTTCAGTGGGGTGGTTACTCTGAGTGGGACACGTGCATGTGCCAACAGGCAGGCTCTGACACTGCTAATGCAAGCTTTGAAGGGAGCTTCTACGAGAAAGTAGGCTTGGAAATAGGGTCTCACTCCATAAATGGTGTGTTACATCTGGGATATAATGTATTAAAGGCTGAGGGACTTGGGCCTTTTTAGTCTGGAGAAGAGAAGACTGAGGGAGACCAGGTTGCTCAAGGCCCCATCCAGCCTGGCCTTGAACCCCTCCAGGGATGGGGCATCCACAACTTCCCTGGGCAACCTGTTCCAGTGTCTCACCACCCTCAGAGTAAAAAATTTCTTCCTGAGATCTAATCTGAATCTTTTTTCTTCCAAGGATAATAAAAACCTCTAGGCTGCCCAGAGAGGTGGTGGAGTCTCCTTCTCTGGAGACATTCAAACCCTGCCTGGACACTTTCCTGTGCAACCTGTTCTAGGTGGACCTGCTTTGGCAGGGGGTTGGACTAGATGATCTCCAGAGGTCCCTTCCAACCCCATGGGATTCTGTGATTCTGTATTCTGGAGGCATCTCCTTGTGCCTCCCAGAGAAACAGAGATCCTTGACCAGGGCTTAAAACACAGTTGCCATACACTGAAAACCCCCCAACATTTAACTGTTTGCTTGCCTCTTACCTGTGAGCAGGAATTGGTTAAAATATTAGTGGATATCTCAAAGGCTGGGACTTTTGCCTTCGGTGCAGCGCAGACGAATCCACTCACCTGTGGAGTTAATGGGTCGTGCACCCACTGCTAAGCCTTTGCAGTTCTTTGAGATGAGCTGAATATTTCACCCTAAAGTACATGCCGTTAAAGACTTGTAATTCTCAGGTATGATATTTGACCTGACTTAACATTAACTGTTAGGAAGCGAAAGTCCCTATGATGGCAGCATAAATTGACTTGATTTAGTAATTTAGCACCCACAATACTATCCCAGTCCTCACGTGTTATCTGGTGACTTCCCAGAGCAGGCAGTGGCTGCTTCCAGAAAAGCAAGGGAATAAAAGACAGGGAATAATACTTTCTTAAGCATCGTTGCAGGCTATGCCAAATAGAGGGAGGAACGTCTATGTGGAGGAGGCCAGTGGAAGGAGGTAGCCATGCTGTCAGGTTTTCTCCTTGTCTGGCATTCCACTGTGTGTATGGGAAGTGCTGGTTAAAAACCTGAAATAATTGGTTTTTATCTTCCTCTTTTAGTCACTCTGAAGATGTGAATCGCACAGGCAACTCACTTGAAGAGTTTCTCTTGTTGATTTGCTGCATTTGCTTTTTTTCATGAATGGGAAGAGAGGAAATCTAATGAAAAGTGTTATCAGCTTGTCAAGTTAATTAGTGTCTATTTTAATACTATCATTATCATTTGTTACTAATTAATATAACGTAAGTAACATGATTACAGCTTTTTTTTTTGTCTTATTTTTCAGTGAGAAGCTGGATGGAGAAGCTGAAAGATAAGGTAGGAGTCTCTGTTTTGATTACTTTAAAAGCAAACCCATTTTTACTTGCAGGAACAAACTCTTGTCACTGGAGTTAATTATCTCTACAAAGACAATTGAGAAGGGGCTTAAAATTTTCTCTGGGAGGCAAGGAACCAGATGCTGCTGTTGTATGGAGTGGTGTAAACCCACAGTACATCCCTGTTGATTAGTAACTAAGAGCAGGAGGAGGGACAGCAGTATTGGGTAGGCTTCTCTGCACTAGAAAATCACTTTCTCTTCAGACTTTCCGAGTTACTTTTTTATATTGCCCTGTAACTTAACTCCACCCCTTTTCTCTAAGTCCTAAGCTTGGTTCTAGATCCAAGATCAAGAGGATCTCGTGGTCCTCTCTGGTGAGAGGCTGCGTGCTGTGCCACCACTTCTCGATGAGACCTTTCTTGCCTCCACCTGCAAGAAGAGCTGCAAATTCTTGGGAGGAAAAAGAGCAAACACAGGAAGACTGAAAAAAATAACAGACCCTGATCTTTTCTCCCTGGCGTTGCAGGGTGATGGTGCATGGAACTAAGCATTGTTCCAGCCACAGGCAGTGATGGCTTTTTAGGCTCTGCTGCCCTAGGGCAAATATTAACATTTTGAAACGGTTGTGAAGCCTTCCAAATGTTGTGTTGATGACAGCAAAGCCATGAAGGTAGAAATGAGGTGACAGTAGTGTTTTAAGATAAGAACATTTTATGACTCAACAGGGCTTGAAAATTCTTGAGCAGGATCAGAGTCAATAGACCCCAAAAAGCCACCACAAGGAGTAATGACTTGATAGAAACTCCAGCCCCTGAAAATACATCTCTAAGCTTAAGTAGGTTGTCACCCAGTGAGCCCAGCCTTCCCACGTGATCCCTACCAAATTTCAGCAGCACCTTATCATCAAGCCTGAACAGAGAGACGGGGTCTGGGTGTCTGTTTTCCAGAACTGGGGAGTGGAAGGGTTTAAGGTGGGTTCCTGCCCAGCGCTCGTTGAGTTGCTTTTCTGCCTACAATAGGAAGGAGGCATGTCTAGTACGAGCGATGCTCGTAGCAGAGCACCTTGGCCTGGGATTCAGCCAGAGCGAATGCTGAGAGGACAGAGAATGGTTTTCCTGACAAAGGTAAAAGGCAGTTGGGTGCCTGGAGTGAATGTAGCATGCACGGGTCACCTGCTCATGCCAGACTGGCCTGAGCCAGCACAACACGAGTGTGGGGGCATCAGGCATCTTCTCACCAAAGCCCTAGCTTTTACTTCTTTCCTCTGGGCACCTTGTTGGCTACCTCTGTCCTTCCCCACGTTGCAGAGGTGGCTGTGTGCATCTTCCAGTCTCCAACAGAGTTGCTCTGTAGAGCCTGAACCTCTTGCAGGTAGATGTTGAGCTGCATGGCAGTGACCAGCACAAGCACTGGTGTAACTGGGGATGTGCAAGTGTCCACTTCAGAGAGATTCAGCCCCAAGCCATCTCCTTCCTTTGGGGAACGGCAGGTGTGTGGAGGCAAATCTTTTACCTTGTTCACATTTTCCCTTAGAAAAGCCCAAGAAAAACCACTCCCTGATCCCCCATGGAATGCTGGTGAACCACACCACTCCCAAATAAACCCGCTCACCCCTTTTCTTCCTCTTCCTTGATGAGTGTATCAGCACCAGTCATAATATGTGCCCCTCTCATTTGCTGTTGGCAGAGCCCTCTCCTCTCTATTTTTCAATCCCCTCATCCAGAAGAGTATCCTGGCATGTGACGGCCCCATCCCCAAGAGATGTGTCCTCCTGTGTCTGTCAGGGCTGCCGTGCCGGGAGAGGGAAGGGTGTGGGGAGTGTGGGACCAGAAGCATGGATCAGTGACAAATTTATGTCCAGTCTCCTGCAAACACTGTTCAAATGTTGCATTTGGCATGCTGAATAATGGACATGAGGTTCCTCTGAAGTCCTGTGTTGCTGTTATCTCAAGTCCAGCAGAGCCAGGAAGGTTGTGGCCATGGATTGGGTATATTAAAAGCATCTCTAGGACCTGAAAAAGAGCTACATCTTCCCCATGGGCAAGGGATGAAAATGTGGCTTTGGAGCAGGCTGTGAAATGGGGTTTCCTCTCAGGCAAGTGCAGAAGCCCTCATGAGTTGGGTTGCGTGACACAGAAGGGCTGGGAGAACAGGTCCTGGATCTGCTTCCCATTGCAAGCATTTGGGGTAGAAATGGTTGGTCCAGCTGTTGGGGGAAGCCTGTAAAAGGGAAAAGGCATGATAAAGGCTCATGGATGTGCTCAGGAGTTCATTGTGTTAAAACTAGTGATTTCTGCTATGGAAACTCAGCTGGGCAGCAGCTAAAATGCCATTTCCAGTCTCCCCTCACCACCCACGCCAGCACCAAAGTTCCAGAAATAGAAAAACCCACGCTGTGCTAATTAGGTCACCCAATTAAGGCACCCTAATTGCCTCGCAGAGATACAGTCTTTTTAGCTGTGTTCTCACTAACCTCCTTTTTCGAGAAAGGGGGTGCAGACACACAGCCCCCCTCCAGGCACCTGTGCTGAG